TCATGGGTGCACACTGGAATAGGCAGCTTCTAAAGTGTCCTGGTCAGGGGAAGAGGGCTTGAGTGTTACTGGGGAGGGCAGAATAAGGATCCCACCAAAGGCATCCACGTCCTCATCCCCAGAACTTGTGACTCTGCTGCCTTTTATGGAAAAGGGGATTTTGCTGATGTGATCAAGCTAAGAATCTTAAAATGCAAATGTAAGCCTGAATTACCTGGGGGATCCAATGACACACCTCAAGGTCCTTACAAGAGGGAGGAAAGAAGGTAAAGGTAGTAGAGGGACAAGTGACAACAGAGGCAAAGATGAAAGGGATGTAAGATAAGGGCTACCAGGCAAAGAATACATTTGGCCTCTGAAAGCTGGAAAAGCAGATTCTCTCCTAAGAGTCTCCAGAGGAACCAGCCCTCCTGATCCCTTTAGCCCCATAGGAGTTATTTTCAATTTCTGACTCCAGAACTGTACAGAATAAAGGTATATTCTTTTATGCCAATGAGTGTTTGACAGTTTATTGCAGCAGCAATTAGCAAACTTGTACACTCATAAAGGATATGACCAAAAGCCCGGGATAGTAGTGCCTAGATCACCTCCGCCCACAGCCAGTGGGCCAGTAGTCACATGGCCTAATCTAGCTGCAAGGAAGGCTAGGAAATTCAGTCTTTCATGCAACCTTGAAGAAGAAGGTGGATGGCAAGTTCAGAGCACCGTGCCCGCCACAAAGACAATGGATCCTGCTCAGTGATCATTTCTACATAAGCCTGCCCAGGCCAGAGAGACCAAAGGAAGGGATGGTGGTGGGCAGGCCATCCCTGGAATGACTTTCACTCTCCTTTGCCACATGAGTAACCTAGGCTTCTCCTCCCTTCCCAGCCAGGAGAGACACGACATCTAGGAGCACTGTGTGCCTCCTCCAGTCAGATGTCTACAGAGTCAGAGACCATCCCTACATAACCTCGAGGCTCAGACACACCGATCCGGGACCTGAGCAGTAGCCCTGTCCCCTTGCTGACCTCACAGCCCTTCAACTCTGGCCATCGGGACCAGGACGCCTAAGTCAATTAGTTCCCACACTGACTCCCGAATCGTTGCCTTCCTAATTTTTCCCTGGAATTCTAAACTCAGGTTCAACCCCCTACTACAGATCCCTGTGTCACTAGATATCTAATGTGCACTGCTAACTTGATGAGGCCAAAGCCAACGCTCTGCCAGCCTTCCCTTCCCTGGGGACAATACCACCATCTGTCTCGTCATGTGGGTTAAACACTTTGTTTTTATTTTTGGTTTATCTCCTTCCTTCATCCTTGCATATCCAACCCAACAACGGTTGGCTGTCCTCTCCAAACTCGTCTTGAATTCACCTGAGATTCTAGATGCCTAGAATTCTCTCCTTGCCCACTGCACACCCTAGACTACACCACCCTGTGCCTGGACAGCCATCCCAGCCTCTCACCTGGTCTGCAGATCCACAACCCACCACCATCACAGTTCAATCTCCATAGCAGCCAGCCTCCTTTTAAACATATTTCATAGGGCTGAGGTGTAGCTCCGTGGCAGAGCACTCACCCAGCATGCCTGAGGCCGTGGGTCCCATCACCAGCCCTGAAAAAGGCCATTCCATGGTGCCTTCCTACTCGGAACTCCCCGATAGCTTCCCACCTCAGGGACACAAATCCAAATCCTTTGCCAGCCATGTAGGAAGCCAGGTGTAGTGCCACATGCTGGTAGTCCCAGATATTCAGGAGGCTGAGGCAGAAGGATTGCTGTCACCCAGGAATTTGAGCGCAGCCTGAGCTATGTAGCAAGACCTTGTCTCAAATAGATAAACAAACAAAGAAACAAATAATACAAATCATTTGGTCCTGGCCCTGCCTACTCCTTTAACTTTGTTTTATTCCCACAGCTCCCTCTCTCTCTGTGTCTCTGTTTTATTCACACTCACCTTTCTGTTCCTGTAATGCTCTACCCCTCTTCTGCCACAGGGCCTTGGCTCTAGCTGTCCCCTGTGCCTAGAATTCTCTTCCTTTCTGTGGGGCTGACTCCCCCTTGTCACTCAGAAGGCAGCTTAACCACCACCTCCTCAGAGGGACCCCTGGCTGCCAACACCATGTCACCTTTAATTCTCTCCCAACACACACTGCTACCTGCTGATCTTCCTCCTTCTTTATGTATTTATTGACAGCTTTGTATTCCCACCTCGGTAGAACGTTCGCCCTGTGAGCAGAGACTATGCCCAGTGGTTCAAGGCTGTGTCCTTGATTCTCAGGCCAGTGTAGCACAGGGGAGGTGCTCGTGACTATTTTACCGAGTGGATGGATGAGTGATCACCTCCCAAAGGCCTCGAAAGGCCAGGGCCTGTGAACAAGATGAAGAAGAGTCCATCCTGCGGGAGCCCACAGGACAGTGAGCGGGAACCGAGTGCGAAAGGGGATCCACAGTGAGGTGCTCAGCACAGCTGCCTCCAGTCCCCAGGTCCATGGCGGTGGAGAGGCTCTATGGGTGGGAGGGGCAGCTCAGAGGCCGAGGACACACGGCAGTGAGAGAGCCCTGAAGGATGAATAGAGGATGGCTAGGCACAGAAGGGAGGGAAATATTCTAGACCGGGAGAGCAGCATGAGAAAAGGCTTACAGGTAGGATAACTCAGCGTGGATTTGGAGAAAAGGAAAATTGCTGTATCAGACTCTGTAAAAGCACATTTGTTACTCAGCACATATTTATTAGCCCTTACCAGGGCCAAGGAATGTGATGAATGCCACGGAGCAAATAGGTACATGTCCTATGGCTCTTGTATCAGCTATCAAGGCCGTATAACAAACATGCCAATAGTGCAATGTTTTCAGACAACAGCTACTTGGATACCCCTTTGGGCTGCGGGCAGTGGCTGATCTGGGGCAGGTTTGGCTGATCTGGACTGGCCTCAGAACTCGGGCTGAGACGACTTCTCTCTTTTGTGCTGCTTTCATGCTTCAGCAGAGAGGGGGGAGAGGACTGAAGTCTGTTGGCCTCTTTCAGCCCAGGGGAGCTTACACACTGTCGCTTCCAGTGCATCTTGGGGTCCAGAGGCAAGGGATGCAGACACGGATTCCTCTTCTTGGTGGGGGAACCTGAGACAGCCCATGCCGCATAGCATGTGGCTGCAGGGAAGAAAGCAGCATTGAGGCCATTTTTGCAAATCACAACAGGCCTCCTCTCTGACTCTGATGTTCTGCAATCTTGGTTTCCAATGCGCCATTCACACCTTCATTGAAGCCCCAATGCCTCCTCGAGCAGTTTTCTTTCTAGACGTACAGGAAATAAGCGACTCGTTCACTCAGCAGATCGGCAGGCTCACCTTGTGTCGGTTGGGAGAAGTACTGAAACGATGCCTCTCCACAGCCAAAGGCGCTCAGACATGCGCTGCTACACGGACATCCAGGTCGGATCTGCAACCACACAGCACTGCTGCCTTCTCAGCCCACTTCCTTCTTCCCCAACGCCCGACTTACGTGAGCCAGTTGCTCTCTCTGCTGTCTGCAGCAATTCCACTCCAGCCTCTGTTGCAAAATGCTTTTGTCTGTTTTTTGGAAGAAATAAAACAACAGATTTTCTCCCTCTCCTTGCCTTAATAGCAGAAAGCGCGTGGAGGCGTGAAATTGGAGTCGCTCTGCCCTATTAACAGCACGGTCGTTGGGCTCCGCTGACCCCTAAAGTGCATGAATACCTCAGCAGCAGGTGGATGAGCCGTGTAAGTGACAGGGGCCACGCCTGGAGAAGGCCGGCTGGGAGGCCTGAGGGCCGCTGTGGCTGGGGCAGCCGTCTGCTTTGGGCTCTGAATTGGAGAATGTTCAGCCTGGGATTGGAGGGGAAGGTGAGGGATTGTGTAACCGAGGGCTCGGCCGGAGAGGGGAGAGGGATCCTGTCTACTCAGCCGCGTGCTGACTCATTCATTCAACCTAGGCCCGGCCGGGCAGGCCCTACCCCCACGGCCCCCACGTCAAGAGTGACAGACTTGGGGGGAAATCTGCAGTTCTATGACCCAGGTTTTGGAACCAGGTATAAAAGGAAGCAAGAGAAGCTCTGAGGAGGTGAGGGGCCCGGAGGCCTCCAAGGAGTGGGGACCTTGCAGCCAGGCCTTGACAAGTGCAAAGTGGCAACCAGCTCAGCTCTGCCAGGCACAGTGGCCCTGCTTGGTCTGGGTGTCTGCCAGGCTGTGTCTCAGGTGCCAGGGCATGCACTGCTGATCACTGGCATGCGGAAGGCCCTGGCTTCTGACCCAATGCCTATGGTCACCTGCCGCACACACAGGCAGGAGTTGCGGGGCCTGGCCAGGTCCCCAAAAGCTCCATCTCCACTGGTCCCCCTCCTCCACGAATCCTGGGCTCACCCACCACCTACAGATCCCCCAGTGGGGCCCTGGCATGCAGAGGGTCCCTTGGGATGGTAACTGCCCCCAGGCTGCTGTGCCCAAGGAGCCCTGATCCCCGTGGGCTTCGGGTGTGACCTGTGACCGGGGGGGGGGGGAAGCCCTGGCTTGCTGGTAGAGGTAGAAGAGGCAGGAAGAGAAGCAAGAGAGAGTGACGGAGCAGGGCAGGAGAGAAGGGAGGAACCGAGGCATCTGGGGAGCGGGGATGGTGAGGAAGAAGTCGCCCGGGGCTGTGAATCGGAGACAGAGACAACGGCTTCTCGAGGGCCATGGGGCTCGGGGATAGCGGAGCAGGGGCGGGGGTCTGGGAGGAGAGTCCTGTCCGGGGCTCCAGGGAGGCAGAAAGGAGCGAAGATCGGCACCGAAGGAAGTGACAGAAAGTTGGAGATGCACCAAGGAGGCAGAAATGAGGAGCAAGACGACAGACAGACGGAGAAAGACAGAGTCCAGCCCTGAGCAGAGGTGGGAGGTGCAGCCACCGCCAGACAGGAGCAGAGGAGTTTTCCAAAGAGCACTTAAATTGCTTTGTCAGTGATTATGCCCCTGGCCTCCTCCAGGACAGAGTACAGCCCTGACTGATGGGTGGATGTGCAAAATACATGTATTTTTTTCAAATGGCCCAATCGCAGATGACAGGCCTAAATGCCAGCACTCACAGCCAGCCGCACCTGACCTTGGGCTCCTTCCTGGCAGCTGCCCGTGTCCCTGCAGCTGCTGGCTCCCGGGGGCCGAAGCCCTGGGGTCTCAGGTCTCACAGTCTCCTGTACCTCCCTCCCCTCATCCCTTGGACCAGAGTCCCCAGAGCCACAAGCAAAGGACGCCTGGAAAAGTCTTTAGATGCTGTCTTTCCCTCCAGCGCTCCGGCTGGCCCTCTCCGGGGACCTTCCTTCCCTGACCTCAGAGAAGGTCCTTTCTGAAGTCCTTCGGACCCCGGGCCGAGGCTCAGCCTCCTCCATGCAGTGAGCGCACCTGAACCATCAGGCACCGCGCGGACCCCACCACCCCAGCCTGCATCTCAGCGTCAGCTCTGCTGCTCACTGTCTCTGCAATTTCCACTCTTACCGTCTCTGTGCCTCTGTTTCCTCTTCTGTAAAATGGGGAAGTCGCGCTCGTGGCCCTCAACTCAAGAGGATCCCGTCGGTGAAGACAAGGGAGGCTCTTCCTGTCATTGCCGTGCTATAGGGAGTTACCAGCGTTTTAGAACAGGGACAGGAGCATCAGAACCACATAAGACACTCGGGAACACAGCAGCGTGGTCCTGGAGGGGAAGAGGTCTAGATCCTCCTAGGAGCAGCCTCAGGACCAGCAGCATGACCGTCCCTGGGGCCTGGCAGAAATGCAGGGTCTCGGGCCCCTTGGGCCTTGCACAGCTGGTGTCTGTGTTTTGTCATTTGTGTGCCCCTGATGCTTGAGAAGGCTGCTCGTAGCACTGGGAGGCTGGGGGGGTGCTCCAGGTGGGGGAGTCCGGATGGGATGGCACCGTGCTGAGTCCTTGTTCTCCAACTAGGAGGCAAAGCTCAGAGAGACCAAGCTACCTGGGTGGCAGGCAGGGCTGGTTCCAGAAGGCTGGGCAGTTTGGGGGCTGTCAAGCAGCCCCCATCCCCAGAATGAGGCTGTGTGACCCGAGGGAGGGTGGCAGCACTTGGCCTGCACAGAGAAGTGATGGCAGGGCCCGGACAGGGCATGGGGATGACAGTGGGAATTAGCCACAGGTCTGGAACTCAGGAGAGACAACTGGAGATCAACTGCTTGGAAAAGAAGTAGCATTCATTAGGCACTGACTGTTTACCAACTGTTAGAACTAACACTCCCTGTATCAGAGAGGTGGGTCATTGCCCTGAGACCACACAGTTTACAGTGGCAGCTCCAGGATCAAAGCCTCCAGCTGCCTGGATGGGGAGCGTGCTTCATCCTCCGTGCCAAACACAGATAATCTGATGCTTGAAGTACCTGGAGATCTTGGTTTGGGTTCCTAAAAGACTGTATTAATCAGCTTTCCCGTCACTGAGAGTCAATACCCAACACGCACCATTTAAAGGAGGAGAGATTTACTTTGGCTCTCAGTTTGGAGGGGTTCGGTCCGTGGTCACCTGGCCCCAAGGCCGAGGTATCATGGCAGCTGGGCAGCTGGGCAGGAGAACAGCACTGCAGGGGAAGGGGCCAGGTACCCTGCATAGCCCCCAAGGCCACACCTCCACGACCCACCCCGACACGCCCAGCGCTGTGCCTTTAAATCCTCAGCAATTTCTAAACCAATCAGTTTGGCACAGTTAAGCGTGATCATCACATGGACCCTGAGACAAGGATTTGGGTGCAAAGGGTTCATCTGGGATCAGAGCCAGGAAGTACAGCAGGACAGGCCAAGGAGCAGGAAGGAGGAGGAGCCCCTGCGGCATGTATTAATGAGCGAGTCACCCCTGGGTGACTGGGGCTGTGTCTCAAAGGGGCCCTGGGATCTTGCATCTCACACACACACACACCAGGCTGTGCCACCTCCAGCAAGGGGCCAGAGTAGCTCACGGCTGTGGTGGATCCTTAAGGCCACACAGCTGGGCAGCCACTGGGGCCTGAACGGAGTCCCTGCGGCCAGAGAAAGCGGCAGTGCAGAGAAGCTGTCACTATCTGGCACACTGCAGGTGACCCCAGAGTGCTCTGAGGATGGGATGGGACAAGGACGTCATCTGCTAGACGGAGACTTGGCTTCCCCAGTCCCCATGGCCTCCTCTGGGACCTTGAGGTGAGGGAGAGGGTAGAGGGATAGAGCTGCCACTGCCCGATGGCCAGCACTAGGGTCTGGCTGTCGGTGTCCTGCCCAGTTTGTACGATGAAATCCGAAACCCCGAGGTGATGGTGTTAGAAATTGGGGCCCTGGGAGGTGATTACAGAGCCTCTGGGAGGTGACGCCTCATGCATGGGATTGATGGACTTCTACAAAACCCCAGGGTCCCTGCTGTGGGGGACACAGAGAACATGACCAGTGGGGGATCCAGTCCCCAATATGGTGGACCTGCTGTGCCCTGGTCAGGGCATGCGGCCTCCAGTCTGGGGGAAACAGATGTCGGGGCTTTAGGCCACCCCCACTTAGGGATTTTATTTCTTTTTTAAGGTGAGAACTGCAAGAAGGGGGTGACTAGGGAAAAACCTGGGCTCAAACCTGGACCCTGACCCTGCCTCTGAACTCAGCTTTCCCAGCTGTAAAATGGGGGCAGTGACACAACTCACAGGCTGCTTGTAATGAGCTAAACGTCAACATCTCCAGCCTGGACAATTTAGCAACCGAACAAGACCCCGTTGCAGAGTGGGTGGCTCATGGCACCCCATGAGCCAGTGAGGCTGAGGCTGGGGATGTAACTCGCAAAGGGCCCGGGTTCGATCCCCAGTACCACCACCACCATCCAAAAAAAGAAAAAGAAAAAATAGAATTTACATAAGTACCAGTATTCCTCTATTTGAGGGATTTACTATTCCATGTGCCAGGCACTGTGCTAGGGACTGGGCATGCATCATCTGTTTTGATCTTCACAACAGCCTTTCAGAAGCATCATCTCCACTTTTCAAACAAGGAAACACAAGCTCAGAGAGGTTGTGCAACTTGCTCACAGTACACAGCAAGTGAGTCCCTGAGCTGGTATCTGTACCTAAGCTTGATGCACCAGGATGGAGGCCAGCCTGGGTCGAGGGCGATCACCTGCCTCCCCAGCACACACATGACAATAAGCCAGCTCTAGGATTATACTCACCTGTCTTGCACAGAGGGGTCAACACTTTGGCCAGGGTGGCCCCCCTCAGCCTGTAGGCTCCTGCCTCTGCATCACCTAGGGATGGGAACCCAAAGACAGCCACCTGAGCTCCTCTCCCATGCACCATTGGCATTCTGGGATCTGGGGGCTCCGTCTGGGGCTCCCAGGGGAGGTACTGAAGGACACAGTTCTCAGGAACAACTTTGTCTCCCTGTGTGCCTGATTCTGCCCTGTTCTTTTTTTCTCAATTTCCCCTAAAATAGATATGTGTGTGAGTGTGTCTGCGTGTGTGTGTAAATGTGTGTGCATTGAGGTTATTCCTGGGGGACTATTAACTAAGAATAATTTATCCAAGAAATTTGTTATGTTAGAATTACCAATTAGATATGATTATAACTTACCATGGCTAACACTGCACTGCTGTTGGAAATCTGAATCCCATTAAAATCTAATTAGCATATATTAAGTCAAAGGCGGTTTTACTGCAGTGCGCCAGCAGGTCTGAGCCACTCTGGGCCGAGTGCGGGCATTCACTGCCAGCTTTGGGGTCTGGCTACAGTGGCCATCACACCCAGGCGGGTGCCAGGCAGCCCCCAGGTGACCTTTCTCCTCAGCTGAGACCAGATGCTCCTGGAGGGACGTGGCTTTGGAGGCTCTTTCTTTGGCAAATGGCCAGGACCCACGCAAGGCTTTGACATGTGGCCAAGCCAGACCATGTGCTCTGGGGTCAGCATCCTGGGCCAAGAGGATGGGAGGGGTTTGGCAGCCCCGGCAACCAGCCAGGTGGCGGCTGAGTGCTGCCCTCTCAGAATGTACCTCCCCTGGGCTAAGAGCACAGCAGGCCATGGCATGAGGACAGAACCACCATTTCCCCAGGCCCAGCA